GGACTGTAGGCATCAAAAAGAGAAAATTCTTTATTTCTAAATTGGAAGCAACCTGGCAGAACCGTTTGTGAATTAAGATAACTCTCTATTAGAAAAATGATTAGAAACTAGAGGCTTAAAAGTTTCCTTTTTTAAAAAAGCATTGTAGTGTCTTTTCAAGTCTAAACTTCCAAACCATTCATTCATTTATTCATTCAACAAATAATGTTGAATACTAACATACAGAAGTAAGCTAGAGAAACACCCTCATTTTGTTTGTAAATCTTAACATATCTTCACACATAAATACTTACAGAAGTAAGCTAGAAAAACACCCTCATTTTGTTCATAAGTCTTAAAATATCTTCACACTGGAGTATGTCTTCAGCAAAGATAAATTTGTAATCTAGCTTATCTGTTTCTACAACTGTATTAGTCCATTTTCATGCTGCTGATAATGACATACTTGAGACTGGGTAAGTTATAAACAAAAAGAGGTTTAGTGGACTCAGTTTCATGTGGCTGGAGAAGCCTCACAATCATGGCAGAAGCACAACTTACATGGCAGCAGTCAAGAGAGAATGAGAGACAAGTGAAAAAGGAAGCCTCTTATAAAACGAAACAATTTCCTGAGATCACTACTACAAGAAAGGTATGAGGTAATCCACTCCCATGATTCAATTATCATCCACCTGATCCCTCTCACAACACATGGGAATTAGAGAAGCTACAATTCAAGATAAGAGTTAGGTGGGGACTCAGCCAAACCATATCAACAATGAAGACAGCTCCAAAATGTGCTAATAGATTTCTAAAGGCTTAAGAAAGGGTGCTAGTAAGAAAAGACAAAGATGTAATCCATTTAGCTTGTCCTCAGGAGGCGTTCCTCATTGTGTTCCATTAAGCATCCATTTAATATATTTTACTTCTTCCTGACAATGGTGTGGGAAATCGTCTTTATTGAAAAGAATAAAGTAATAGAAAATCCAAAGCATTTGAGAAAATCCTAGCCATGACCTTTTCAAACCAAAGAAAAAAGAGATAGGGTAGATATCATCAAAAGAAATTCTTGGTTAATGAAAGATACTGCAAGGTTTTACAAAACAGAATCTTGATTTTGTCTTTGTTGCTGCAATAAATGTTGCTGAGGAACAAATAATGCCAACTCTCTGTTTTAGTCTGAATACTAAACAATTTCTGATAGGAACATTGAGAATACTAGATAATTGTATTTAAAGCCTTGATACAAGGAGAGTGGCTACTCCACTTTAGACAAGGAAAGACCCAAACTCAAAAGACAAAGAAGAGAATTAAATAACTGAATAAGAAGGAAAACCAAACAGTACTAGACCAATCTCTTTAGAGATTTTCCTTGGACACATATGCCTAAGGGTTTCACCAGAGAATCCAGGACAGAGGCTCCTAGAGCAGGCTCTATTAATAGTTATTCTTCAGGTAATTATATAGCAATGTATACATTTTTTAAAGTTTTATTGTGTATTTAGTTCTTCATAAGATATTCTTCCTTTTTTCTTTTTCTTTTTTTTTTTTTTTTTTTAAGACAGGGTCTTGCTTTGTCATTCAGGCTAGAGTGCAGTGGTATGATCACAGTTCACTGCAGTTTCAACCTCCTGTGCTTAAGCAATCCTCCCCACTTAGCCTCCCAAGTAGCTGGGACTACAGGCATGCAACACCACACCTGGCTAAGTTATGTGTTTTTTATAGAGATGGAGTTTCATGATGTTGCCTAGGCTGGTCTCAAGCTCCTTGGCTCAAGCAACCTGGCTGTCTCTGCCTCCCACAGTGCTGTGATTATAAGCATCAAGTAAAATAGCTCTTTTAGCTTTCATGAAGGACAATTGTGTTAATTCAAAACATGCAAAGGTACCTCTAGCAACATGCAGAGTTTACATTGGCTAGGGAAGCACAGTCTCTGAGAGTGGAGGATCAGAATAACTGATTTCTTACTGAGTTGTGCAGATAGTTCCTGGGCAGCAACTCTTTCACAGAATCAGCTACCATTTGGCAGATAAAAGTAAAAATTTTATAATAATTCAGATTGCCAGTAAGCTAAAATGTTTATTTGCCTCCTTTACCAATGACAGAGTGTCTGGTTTCCTGATCAAAACTGTAATAAAAGGAACAGTAAGTGGCAATATTAATTACCACAACTTAACATAATCCTAAAAGATACAAATTCAGAATATAGATTTTTAAAAAGTATTTTGATGAAATATTAACCCAGTCAGTGATAGAACTGAGAGCTTACATATCCTAAAGTTTATTCTAGACTTAAGTTGCCCATGTTGTCTTTTATTTCAGACTTACTAGCCACTCCTCGATTCTTTAAAATCTATTTCAAATACCACCTCTTTGATCAATCTCTTTGTCCTCTTTCCGCAAATACATACAGCTTCTCTGCCAAGCAGTACTCATTGTTCTCCAGAAAGGATCTCAGAATACTTCATACATAACTCTGTCACATTTTATTAGTATAATTTTGTTAAATATTCCTTTCTCACCAGGCTGTGAAATTATCTAAGACATGGACAGCTTTTTATTACTATGCTTATCCCCAGGGCTTAATACAGTCTAAAACTGAGTAGCCACATGTTAAACATGGGTTTGGTGAACTATGAGCATACAGCCAGTTTCACCACACAGTGACTATGGAATATGCCAGCAGCTGCCACAGACAGTATTTTTAGCCATAAAAATTCTACATTCAGTTCATTTATCTTTGGTCTCTTAGATCATGCTCCATTATGTTTTATTTTCAAAGTCCTCTGTGGATTATGTTCAGCCAAAAAAAAAAAAAAAACCACAAAATATCCACTCAAACAGACTTCCCTTCTGTAAGGGCTCTTTAAGCAAGTCTCAGAATTCAATGCCTTTCTATAGCTTTGGTAATACATTATGAATTGTACTATGAGACAGATTATGTGCCTGGATGGAGTTTTTAAACTATATTTTAAAGCACTATGATTCATTAGGAAGCATATCAAGTTTAAGATACATACAAGCAAAACACTGTGAGCAGCTACTGAAGCACCTTACTGCGTAAGTCAAGGTCTGAGTGCCTGATAAGGGGTTTCAAAGGGCTTCTGACTGAATTGTTAAAGAAGTTCATCTTTACAGTCCCTGTAAATACAGGAGAATAGATTGTGATTAAACAATGTCAAATTGACAACAGGGAGTCCTGAAGCCTTTTACTGGCAAGGTTGTACTCTGAAATACCCTAACTGAAGTTGCTTAATAAAACCTAACTCACTTATGGACAAGTGCCAATGATCGTGAGCACATGGTGACCACCAGACTGGCCAGAAACAAGGTTTTTCTTTTCTGTATTTATAAATACGTGTTTCTAGTACAATTTATTATAGTTTCCTCTGTGTTATGTTTTCACTGGTGTTTGTTTTCATGGAAACTATTGTATTTTTGGCAAGAAGCTGAAGATAAAGAATCACTTTAGGATTACACTGACCTTTTCAGCCTGGGCCACACAGAGAAGACAATACCATCAGTGACATCCTCAGCAAACATAAAGGTTGACAATATAAGGAAGGTACTGAATTAGCATTGAAGTTTAATTTAACAAAGTCTTGTAAAATTTAGTAATTAAATAGTTACTCCTATTGGGAAAAATAGGGCACTCCTCATTCACCAGCAAGACATCAAAAACAGATAACATCAGTCGCAATTTTAATTTCAGCAGGCTTTTTTGTCAAAATTGACAATCTTAATTTTAAAATGTATGTAAATGTGAATAATTCAAAATGTCCAACACAATCTTAAGAAAGACTAAAGTTGGAGGGCTTATATTATCTGATTTCAAGATTTGCTATATAAAACTATAGTAATGAGTCAGTGTAAGCTAGCATAAGGTTCATCAAACAGATCAGTAGAACAGAATAGACTGATATTTATTCAGGGTTTTTCTTTGGTTTTGTTTTCAATAAAGGCTCTGCAGCAATCCAATGAGAAAATAAATTTTTTTTTAGCAAGTGATGCTACCACTAGAAATTCATATAAAAACTATGAATTCTGACACCTAACCTATACCATACACAAAAATTACTTTTAGGTGAATCACAGACCTAAGTGTAAAATCCAAAATTCTAGAAGATAATATAGAAATAAATATTTCTGTGACCAGAAGGTAGCTAAATGCTTCTTGAAAAAAGCAATAGCTATAAAGGAAAAAAAAATGGTACTTTAAATTTTATCAAAATAAAAATATCTACCTATCAAAAGACAACATAAAGAAAATTATTAGGCCAGTCACAGTGTGAAAAAATTATAAAACCAATATCTACCAATAGACTCCTTTATTACAGAAATAGATGTGACCATATCAAGAACATGGTGGTTTTGTTTGTAGTTGATAGGTAGAAACTAACCCGAAACAGTAGCCAGGTCAATATTTGTAAAAAGAAATTTAAGTTATTAAGCCCATATTTAGCCTCTATTCACCATAGCCACTTTGCTGATGAGTTCCTTGAGCAAGCACTGGGGTGGCTGGAGAAAGAGGCATTTAACATTTGGAGACCAAATCATTTCGTTCATCTAATTATTGACGCTCTTCTGCAACAGGTGCCATCTACAGTAGATGCCATTTGGTGACCATTCACATAAGACACAATTATTTTTACACTAGATGCCAAATTTTATAAGTCCATTCATTTATATACTCCAACAAATTCCCTTGCCACCAACCTTCCAGTGCTGCTGACCAAAACCTTTTGCAATTATCAGCAATTGCCCAGAAATAATGTAGACCCATTCTTCTGGTCATCTCTTTGTCCAGATAATAGGAATAAAATCTTCCATTCAATGTCCTGTCTAGGATGATTTCCATTTACCCTTTCACTCAGGGCTATCCCTGAGAGAGACTGTCATGCCACAGCCATTTACTTGTGGTTGGTGACAGCAAAATTATGCAGAACCATCAGAGTCTTTCCCTTTTCAGTCAACTGGTCATAAGGAGCACCCTATAAGGTCACAGGTGTGTACTGAGGGAGATACAGCCAGATACTGTCGAAGCAGTCCCTCTGGAACGACCTGGCGAACTACATAAGGAGCAGAAGGTGCTGATGGAAGGGCCGCTCAACAACCTGCGCAAGAGCCTCATGCAGTTCAGCAAGCCACGCAAGCTGGTCAACACCATCAGCCCGAGGGCCCGCTTCATGACTACGGCCATGCATGATACCCAGGCCGTCATCCCCAGCTCCGTCTATGATCTGAGCGGCCAGGGCCGGCCCTCCAGCACGTAGTTCCAGACCCACGACCAGATCGGCATGATTAGCGCCGGCCGCAGCCACCTGGCTGCCATGAACATTTCCATCCCCTTCAACCTGGTCACGACACCCACGCCGCTGCCCAGCTATTTCGAACAAGCCAACCGGCCAGCTGCAGGCCGAGGCACCCCAAAAGGCAAGATTGGTCGTGGGGGACGCCAGAAGAGCCGCTTTCGGCTTCCTGGGCCCAGCCAGACCAACCTCCCCAACAGCCAAGCCTGCCAGGATGTGGCGTCACAGCCCTTCTTGCGGGGCGCCCTGACGCAGGGCTACATCTCCAGGAGCCAGCCCTGCCAGATGAGCCAGCCCGGCCTCACCCAGCCGCAGCTGTCCCAGGACAGTTACCTTGGTGACGAGTTTACATCACAGATCCACGAGGCGTTCTCACAGGACTCCACGTACCAGGGAGAGCTGGCTTACGAGTGCGGCGGGGTGAGTGGCTGTCACAGTATTAGAAGGCGGCGGCGGAAGAGCTAAGCAATGTGGCTTAGTCCATCAGCATCTTATTCTGGGTAATACAAAATAAAAATAAACGGATACCTGTTTTCCACAGCTAAAACGGAAGCACCACTGTGTGAGCGACAGGAAGGGAGAGCGCACTACGCAGAGGAGCCGACGCCGAGCGTCCCCTGCTGGCCGGCGGCGGCGAGGAGCAGAGGGAGCCGAGACCGGACCGTCCCACTCCGGCTGCGGCTAGGGCGGAGGGAGAAAGATCCTCATCTCAGAGTAGTCCTTTTTTCTGTTCTTTTATTTCTTTTTCTCTTTGATTGAAACGGGACTACGTCTTTTCAGGAGAAAACTTTGCATTTTTGTGCCGGAGCAGGCTCCTTCCAAAGGCCACGGCGCCCCGGCCAGAGCCCCAGGAGGGCGCATCTGCCCTCAAGGCCAACCAGACCCGCGGAAGTCCGGCTGCCTGTGTTCTCAGAGGGCCTTCATTTAAAGAAAACAATGGTGTTTGGGGTTTTTCTGGGTTTTTTTGTTTTTGTTTTTTATTTTCAAGATTTTTTTAAAGGAGTACTGAAAAATACTTTCCTAGGTTTATTTCTAAAATCTTAGCAGTGCACCTTGGAGATGCGAGAAGCTTCCAGAAGCACAGTTTAAACAAGCCAGCGCCACTGAAGAAGAGGAGCAACACCTGTGCCTAGGCCCGAAGGAGGATTTTTGTTGTAGGTTTTAGCTTCCAGCGGCTTCAAGAAGCAGGTGATCAGGCCGCGGGGGTAGCTGCCCAGCGAGCCTGGAAGCCCTCGTTCGCTGGACTCAGAAGCCAAGCTGCTTCCTACCCGGACTTGGCTCAGGGCTCTGCATCTGTGAGGAAGGTGCTTTTGGCCTCACTGAGAGGGGCCTTGGCCAGGACTGGCCCTGTGGCCAGGGGGCGAGAAGGTGGCTGCTCCCGGATGGACGGCTTTTTCCCGGGGTCCTTTGGTGGATTTGGTGGAAGGACGAGAGGGCCTGTCCCTGTCCCCAGGAGGTACCGACAGTCCTGTGCTGGTTAGACACACGGCGGTGCACACCGCATTCCCAAAGTGGGAGCTCTGCCTGCCAAGCAGCTTTGCTAATGGGGTGATGGCGCCTGCTGAGGGAAGGAAACAAGTCACAGAAATCAGTGCGTTCTGTATGAAAGGGGCTGGGAGTGTGGGGTCATTGGCCGAGGGTCATTTTAGTTGGGAGAGCTGCCCCAGCCCCTCAAACACCTAGCTTGGGGTGTCATTCCGCCTGGCGGCCAGGCCTCCAGCCTCCCCCAGCCTGGGGCTGGGGCTGTCACTCGCCCTGAGCTGAACGCCTCCAGATTCTCTATTCTCCATGGGACAGACGGGGACGTACAGGCCGCCTTCCTTCTGGCAGGGACTCGTATTTATTCCCATTGCTTTAGGGCTTTCGGCTTCCCCTTCTTCCTGTAAGCTGAGTACAGGCATAGACCCAGGTAGGTTTCCTCGGTGACCCTGCAGTGGCCTGAGGGGCGCTGCCCGCCCCACCCCAGCTGTTGGGCTGGGCTGCTTTACCTCTGCTTCGCCCTGTGCTGTGTTCTCCAGCTTTGTAGCAGCAGCCACGAATCTTAACAAACCCAGGTGCACTGTTATCAAGGCAATGTAACTTTTGATTTTTGGTCATTTTAAGTTACTTTGTCACCAATAAAATATTAATAACAACAAAAAAAGCTGGAGTCAGTGGCAAAGTACTTCAGCCTACGTAACATTTCCATTTGATGACAGGGTGTTGCTATGCATGCCCAACCTCATGTTCTAATAGGCCAAAAGATACCCAATACAAAATGGGAAGCTCAGGTCGTATGGTCACTTGATGTCCCACAACTAGACATTTAGTCTCTACCAGGACCCAGTATCAGGCCAGTATTGATTTTTGGGAGAGGAATAGTTATCTGCAGAAGAAGGCATGAGTTTACCTCAAAATTCTAGATGTTGGGCGTGGTGGCTCACTTTGGGAGGCAGAGGCAGGCGGATCACAAGGTCAGGAATTTCAAAACAGCCTGGCCAACATAGCGAAACCCCGTCTCTACTAAAAATACAAAATTTAGCAGGACATGTTGGTGGGCACCTGTAGTCCCAGCTACTCGGGTGGCTAAGGCAGGAGAATCACTTGAACCCAGGGAGCTGAGGTTGCAGTGAGCCGAGATTGCGCCACTGCACTCCAGCCTGGGAGACAGAGCAAGGCTCCATCTAAGAAAAAAACAAAAAATTCTAGAGGTCTGAGATTCTCCTATTGGTGCACACAAGAGGATCTACACTGCCCTGCGTACATGATAGATCATGAACCCCAGTTGGAGGATCTGTGTGTGTTGAAGTCTTCGCTTGCTGCAGATTTCTCTGATCAAATCCAGAAGCCTCCTGGGCTATATAAGGTATATGTTGTCTCCAAAATCCATAAAGGCCATCAAGCACTAAGCCTCTGTTAGTGGGAGTGGTGAAATCGGCAACAGTGTCTTTCACCTTTCGGGAGATATGTTCATAGGCTACAAACCACTGGACTCCAGAAACATCACTGAGGTGGCAGACTCCTGAATTTTTGTGGTTTATCCCTCTCTGTTTTGCAAATATCTTACCAATAAACGCAATCTGTGAATTGTAGTTTCTGTTTTGCACCAATCCTAAAACAATGCTATTGGAGTTTCTTCTACCATAACTAGACTAATTCTGTGGGTAAAATTTTACATGCTTTTATTTTGAATGAAAATAGAATATATTCTGTATTAGTTTGCCATTGCTCTAGCTAGTTGCTGATCAAACCCATGTCTGTTTAACCCTTTATTTGCCTTCAGTTACAATTGGAAGAGAGGAAAAGGTGCTTGAGGGACATTGTGAAGAAAATGGTGTTTTGGAGAAAGACAACTTGGGGTCTGAGTCTTGGCACTGCCACTGAATAGTAGGGGATTTGGGTAAGTTTTCTAACATGTAAAGCAGTACCATTTTTACTGTAGATATGAAGTTGCATGATGTATATTAAACCTCACACAGTATCTGGCACAGAGGGGAGCATTCAACAAACGAAAGTGGTTATAATGACAGTTACTATTATTCCCTTAGATTAAATGTTCTCAATTCTTAATGCACATGAGGGTCATTAACGAAATAACAAAATCCAAAATCACCCTCAGAGATTATTATTTGATTGGTCTATAATTTTTTAAAAGCTCCCTAGGTAATTATAGTGACAACAGGGTTGAGAAAACACTAACTTAGATGAAGTTAGTGTTTGGCTAAGATACTAACCAAATCCTTTGGCTGTATTTACCATGAATATCATTGTATCACCTCTTCTAAAACTCCTTTTTTAAAGTCATTATTTAAAAGTAAGTTTTACAGATATAATTTGACTACAACAGGCCTGGTGAAAAGATGTCCATTAATTGCAGGAGGCTTTTTTTCCTTTCATGTGTTTAGGCTTGGGAAAATATTTTTTGATTTTATCTTTTGGGAAGTGATGATTTTGCTTGAAAGAAAAATTATTTATTTTTCCACTGGGAGTCCATAATATGACTGCAACACTTTCATACAGCTTTCAAACATAATGTGGAAATTAATGACTTGTTTTAAACGTTATTATTTGATATTTAGTGCCATATTTTAACACAGCTTACAAATGATTTTTCCCAGAGTTTTTGAGGATGTGTTGTTGTTGAAAATTATCTCTATTATTTTTCCCTTGTATCCCATAGAATGAGCAGTTGTCTCAGATTATCTTTTGAAGTAAAGATTCTTATTGTCTCTATAAAACTAAATAAGATGATTTAATAAAATTAGAACAACCAAGTGGTGAGGGCAAAATAATCTTTGAAGGAAATTAATTGAAAGAATTGACTGGTTTCTTAGGATGGTGTTGCTGTGGAAAATTAAAAAAAAAAAAACTTGACATGTTATTTGAATTTATGTACATTTCTAAATGTCATCTACAGTTTTAAAAATAAATTCTGGTGGTGTCTGGAAAAGAAATGAATATCAAATTTCTAGTGCAAGGTTTTAGGTTATAGTTATTATTTCTTTGGAATCAATATGTTTAGAGAAGTAAGTATTTATTTTGGTTAAAATACACTCTGACGCTGAATCATGTTTAGATATCCTTGAGAGAAGCAAAATGAAGGGAGGTATTCATTTAAAAAGATGCTTGAGGATAACTGGAACAATTATGCTTCATAGCCAACTATTTTTGTGTCTTAAGGACAAATAATAAAAAACACAATTTCTTCTTTTAAAATATGTATTTCAGGATCAAATCAAGCCAAACTAGATAAAAGTCAATGTTTTTACTTTTAGTGAGAAAAAAAAGATATATTTTCCCTTAGTAACATAGGTAGAATACATTATATCCTTGAGTATTTTCGTAAGTCTTTTTGATAAGAATATCATTCTAATAAATATTAAAACTATATCTTCCTATATTATTTTCTATAAATTGCTTACTATTTACCTAAAATATTATTTGCTAAATAAAAAGTATGTACTTCCTTTGTGAAAAGGCTTTTTGTTTTCTTATTAAAACGTAAAGATAATCTCAGGTCTTTCCAAAGCCTTTCTGTTGATAAAGTTTTGGTAAATCAGTAGTCTGCAAAACATGATAATCATATCCCATTAGATTTGCAAAGCAATGCATTAAGAGATGGGGGAATAATTACACTTCTGTTAATTGTCTTTCATAAAGAAAGAAATAAAGCTTATTCATATTTAAAACATTAGTTGATATTATATGTATATAATTTACATGCCAAACTTTTTTGCTAGAAGGATGATATTGAATGTTCCTAACACGAATAAATGACAAATGTTTGCAGAGATAGATTTGCTTATTAGCCAGATCTGATCAACGTACATTATATGTATCAAAATATTATACATATAATGTACCCCATATACACTTATATTTCAGTTAAATATATTTTTAAAATAATGAAATAATTAAAAAAATAAAATTTTAAGACTATAAAGACTGCTAGAGTTGATGCCCTTTTTATAGCTAAATCCCTTGTGGGATTTATATATCCAAATCACAAATGTATACATCCAAAATCCATAAGGGACCTAGGATACATAAAATTAGTTGTGGAGTGTTGAATTTAGAAGAGAGTGAAGAAAGCTAAATTGCTCTGCATGATAGAAAGAGAAGA